GGAAACCACAAGAACTCAATTAACTTATAGTATGCCTTAGCGTTTTATATTACCGAATAGTTTAGTTATTTGTTGGCTAGCCACGAGCACATGTATTCATTCCTTTAAAGTTTTTTCCGCAATAAACAACGTTTGCTTAAACACGATCTATTTACTCGCGTGTCTTTACATTACGATCAACAAAGGAAAGTTATTGCAATCTTAAACTGAAGTGTCCGGATACTGGGCAACATACTGTACCTGGAGAAAAACCTCTCAGAGCAAAGGAGACGGAACCAACAACAAACTCAACCCACATATGGCGTCGACGCCGGAATTTGAACTTGGTCCACATAGGTGGGAGGCTAGTGCTTATATTGAATGCACACAATACTAGGAGCGTGGAATATCTCTTGTTATGAGAATAGTCTTTTTTCAATTCCTGAAATATATAAGCGTAGTGTCGCTTCCACGTAGGCTAATTTTTCTAGTGGAGAAGGGTAAAATTAGCATCACCTCCTAGTTTCTGATTTTCTGAACAATTTTTTTGGAGGAATGGCGAACAATAAATTTTTCAAAGCCTGACAATATGTAATTTTTCATTTTTAGAGCCGAAAGGAACAAGACGCCATCGTCATTCCAGCATTATACCACTGCACCAGCGCATACAAGACCAAAATTGTGGCAGGCCTGCTTGCCTACAAAGGAATGCTTGTTCTGTTTGGGCTTTTTCTGGCCTGGGAGACACGCAATGTCACTATTCCCGCCTTAAATGACTCTAAATACATTGGGATGTCTGTTTATAATGTTGTTGTGCTTGGCATCATTGGTCTGGTCGTGACGTTTGCATTTGATGGATCTACCCACTATGTGGTTCCTTACGCAATCTCATCTTTCTGTGTTATTGTTTGCACTACTGTCACACTGTTGCTGGTGTTTGTTCCAAAGGTAAGTCGAAAAACGAAGCTGCCGTCACAGTTATAATTTACTTTAAAGAGTGAACTTGGAACTGTACCATATGACGTTTGAGGGAGGGGCGCAGAAGACAAGAAATAATTGCTGCTGAAAAAAATAAGTTGAACTTAAGCCTGAGATTAACTAAAAGCTTATAACTGGTCTGAGAAAAACCTAAAAAAAAACGCGTTCCCTGGATTTAAGCCCTTGATAAGTTGAAACCTGAGCACGCGATACGGCGTTGTGATACTGGTCAGCGGATACCCTTTTCTGACGGCGGTCAATTGACCATAACATGGACGACGTCTTTCATTAATTGTTAACACAAAAGTTGGAGGGTCCCACACAAGCTAAAAAATGTCATTTCACGTTGACCTTGAGAAAAAGGCTTGCACCCCGATCAAGACGAATCTTATCTTACTCAGGGCCTCAGCCCTGCAGGTCCTGTTTTGGTCCTAAAATAAGGGAAACCTCAGGCTCCCAAGGCCCTCCCCTCCCCTCCATGTCATTCCCCTCAACCAAAAACGGGAATTGAAGTATTTTTTACCGAGTTGGGTTCTCCCTCTCTTAATTAACCCTCCCTCCTCTTTATTTTGCCCTCTGACCATTAAGCTCCCCCCCGCGGAGTTGTCCCTTTCTTAGACGGTCGCTGCCATTTTAAGACATTTAAAAAATTTTAGACCTGCTATTGAGAGAAAGAAAATCGCCACGCAGGGTCGAACTCGGACCTTTCGTCTCTTATCTCTCCCTCCGTTAGTACTACACAACCGCACCGACTTGCCAAAATTCCGAAAGATTTTAAGTACATGAACCAACAAACTGTTCTTCTTAACTGATACATCAATAACAGGTGACCCCAGCACTTTCCATAACTTTTAACGTAAATTCAACCTGGGCTTCAACGTAGTTCTTTCTATAAGAATAGTTTCCTTATTGTAACTTAATCCAGGGAGTATATTGCATCTACTACGACTAAAGGGTTGGTTACCAATGATGACATCGACCGTTAAAAATGGCAACCACCGTTTACGAAAGGGAAATAGGCCCCGCCGGCCTCATTAAAAATGCTTAAAGAAAAAAGTTCCTTCCTCGTTTTACAAGTGATCTCGCTAAAATCTCTTGTTTTTCTTTGACCGCCGAAATTTTATTCACAGCAGACGGTCTAGTCGGTCTAGTCAGTAGAAGATACAGTACCATACCGACAAAGTAGAACAGAAAACATTGTCTCGTTTACACTGCTGGTTCTTAGAGATTTTTGATCAAGGAATCAGGAAAATGGATTGAATAGATAAAGATAAAAGGAAACAAACTACAGAACCACTAAAAACAACAAAGCTCCACTTTGGTCTTAGGACCGATTTCTGTTAAGGTGGAACTGTTAACACTTTTACTACAAGAGAGAATAAGATTATTCTCTCTTGTGTTACTTATACTGCCACAAATATTTTTTGGAGGCAAAGAACACTAGAAAGATAATACATTTTTCATCTCTTTATTTCTTTGATAAAACAAATCTTAAATCCAATGATTGCTTTGTTACAGTAGCCTCGTAGATTCCCAGCGCAACATACGTCCTTTACGTTTTTTCATTCGTGCGAAGCTCCTGTAAAGCAAAGCCCAATTACAGGAAGTGATATACAGTCTAATTATCTGTCTGTATTTAAAGATTTACCAGTTCCGAATGAAGGAAGAAAGAAGCATCACCTCAGACTTCAGGATGCAAGCCGCTGCTACAAACAGGGCACATGCTCAGAATCTCAACGTGACATGCGCAAACCCTTCGCCAGAGGAGCATTTAGCACCTGCCTCACCCACCAACCGGTCATAAGGCACCCGTGAGGAGGGGGAATCCCAAGAATGGCCTATACGGTGAAGGTTCCGCCCAAAAGAGATCTTTTTTTAGGCAGAGTTGGAAATTCAGGAGTTCATGTATACGAAAGGGTCGAAAAATCTATAATTTCAGTATCACAAAAGTCCTTTAATGTAAATGTTTCGAAAAGACGTGCCTTAGGGCTTTACCATTTTAATTTATTAACCTCACATAAAAATGACAAGAAGACTTCATGTTTTAACGATTTATTCTTTTTAAGTAGGTATTGGAAAGGTGTACAATCTTTCAATGGAAGGAATATAAAACGCTAAGGGGCTGGACCTTCGGGTGCAGCCTTTCCCGATAAAACTTTGTTGAGTATAACCCCCCCGGGGAAGTACAAAGATAGATCATTCTTGGTGATATCACGATAGAGATAGATTATAGCCTTGGGTCCTTGCTCCCAAGGTGGTTACTGGATAAATCTAAAATCTTCCCGTTAAGAGAAGACAATACAGTACAAATAATAAATAAATAAATATAAAAAAACGATAAAGATAAATCATTGATCGGGGTGAGATAGTAGTAGATGATTGTAACCTAACTGAAATATGATATAAAAAAAGATAATATCAAGACCCGTAACAATTAAAACATTCTATATCCTCTCTTGTTAAACCAACTCTCCATAATAAAAGTGTTTTTTTAACCCCAATTATAAACCAGTAGTTTGAAGTTTCCCTGCCTTCGTTTGCAGTAGGTGGACCCATTTTGTAGCGGCAGCAGTCCTTGATGCTTATATCTCGGGACTCTTAAGATTTGTGTCCCCTCATATCCACAGCCGACTAGAGCTTCAGTAAAGGATAAGTCGGGTTGTATTATCCGCAGGGCGCTTTTCGGGGATAATGTGGGGCATTTTTCATTGAAGGTCTGCATACGCTAGTGTGGGGCAGAAAAAAATTGGCGAGCACGGAAAAAAGTCGCCGAGCGAAGCGAGCCAAGCAGTAATCGGGGGAGGAAAAGGGTGACGGAGACTCCGCCGCCTGTTCCACCTCCTTAAACCACCGTTCGGCTCGCTTCGCTCGCCGATAAATATTTTTCTTATTTTAGCCTTTTCCCCCACTGCGGAGCCTGGTCCCAGGTTATGGGGCATCTATCATTATTGAAACACGTTCCTCACTTATATGTGTTGTCCGCGACTGTGCTCACACGGTGGGTGGCTCCTCCTAAAATGCTCTGCAATTGGTATAGGATTTAATGGAGCCGAAACTAATTGTGGAATTGCACGCATTTTAGGCATCCTACTGATGAACAGTTGGGACACGTAGATATATTATTTTTTTTAGCAACTACTATAATTTGCAGTCTTTCTACTTTGAATTGCGTTTTTCATTTTTTCCTCTTTTGAAAAAGATCTAACAGTTTCTCTTTACGTAGACCCTTGAAAGCGAAAATGTGAACGGTGGTTGCTTCGCATTTTCACCGGATTATTAAAAGTACAATCGATACGTCACAATAGGAACCCAGTAGTTCTGTTTACGAAAACTATTTATTTGTACTATATATGTACACAAAAGTCAAGCTGAGTGCTCCACGTATAGGATGCTAAGAAATGTACAATAGAGATTGCTTCCCTTTCGTCTCGCGCAAATCGCTTGCTTAAGACTGTGTTTCCAAAATAACGCTAACGACGATTTCATCGATGAAGTATGTGATAACAGTACACGTATACTCTCGGCCATCATTCAACAGAAAACTTGACATGAAATCATTAGGGTTTCCTCTTTAGGAAAAGTGGCTTACAGTGGCGAGGAAGTGAAAACTAATTGGTATTCCCGTAATTTATTGGTTTTTAAATGTTTACTGAGTGTAATTTCGTACCCTGCATAAATTGGAAAAAAAAATATAAAAAAGAACTTGTAAGCTTTGATTTTAACCAGCAGCTTATGTGCGCAAAATGTTCATTGAATTGCGCTGTTTCATTGGGGATCTCTCTGTCTATCTTACGAAGTAACCCTCCGAGAAGAAGTGACAAAAATCTGTTGCAATCAACGGCCTCAACTAAAGAAGATGACAGCTAAAGAGTTCTATTCCACAGAAAATTCCCACCAACCAAACGTTACTCACAGAGCGCCTAAAAGTTTAATGATACGAGCTGTTGCGCTCTCTTGTCTCGCGTCGTTGTTTTCTTTTTTTCAACATTTTAACATTTTTAATCTTAAACACCTCAGTAGAGAAGTGAAACCGGGTAAGGAAACTACTTTCTCCGTTTGCTTGGTCTCTGGAACGTTTGTTTGCTTCCACCAGCGCGAACAGTGTGGAACTTCATAGCCAGAGTGTTATCCTGCGTCCAGGGTGAATCCATCTAAAGGAGGACACGAAATTTATTAATACAAAACGTAGAGAGCATATGTGGCAACTCTGCTAATTTGGTTTTCATTAGTTCGCCAGAAAGCCGATTCACCCGAAGCCGTTTCGTCCGACATTGGTATTTGGTGTATATTTAATTAGCTTTCCCAATCTTATGTATTTATTTTCAAACGAACGGCTAGACAAACTTGACCAGCAAACGCAGCTACTAAAAGGTGACACGATTCTCAACGTAGCGATCGTCGCGCGCGATACCAATTTTTTTTTTTCATTTAGTCATTATAGGAAAGTATTTTCTTTACGTAAAAGCTCTTAACGGTAAATTTTACATCTTTAATGAATTTGTTTCCTTAGCTCGTGATAAAATTAGTCTAGAAAAATAGATTTCTTGTACGACTGTTCGCGAAAAAGATTTCAGAACAAAATGGTCTGTTTTTTCGTCTCTTTTAAATACGGGGTGAAATTCTGTTTACTTTACTGATTGCGCTCCCATTTAGTTATCACTAATGTTTTTATTGTGTTAGGTTTCTTTTTTGTCAGCTTCAAGTTGTAGTTTTCGTTTTGATGCAGATTGTCTTTTGTGAATGTTAACTGTACGTGTGTGTGTTCAATAAAGTTGTATTGGAAGAAAAAAAAAACAATTTCAAGAGAATAGGCCCAGTTTTTAACAAATTAAAACGACTGAGAGGATACTGAAAGAACGATTTTTGATACGATGCAAGTAAACCTCTGAACCCTTTGCTATTATAGTGTTAACTAGCGGTGAGCAACTTGTAAGAAACTGCATTAACTTGTGTTAACAGCTTTTTTAAAACAGGTTTAGCTGTGGCGTGGATGGGACACAAGAGGGATAAAAGTTCCTTCAGTTGTTCAAAGGCTACAGCCTTACGGATTAAGGGTTCATAAATCTCAACAAAGACCAGTTTTCCAAAACTGAAAGATATTGATAAGACTGTACTATAATGAATGTAAGCAGTTTAAGCAGAACGGGCATCGTTCCAAATTACTTACCTGTGTTGTGTCTTGATCCACCAAGTGGGTATATTTTGTCCTACCTGACCGGCCAAAGTTTTTCACCTGGGGGAAACAAGGAAGTACGTCACACCTTCACACGTTTGGAAAAAAAGTAAGGAAATCAAACGAGAAAATTTTAGAGTAAAAGAAACCTCCATATTAGCATCGATTTCCGCCGCACTCCCTGGTCCAGTCTTGTCCGGGCTGATTTCCCAAACAGCGGCTTCATAAATAATCGAGCCTAGCGCCATATAAATGACCTGTTGCAAACTTCTCGATTGAGTTCCACAGCTAAGAAAAAGTTTGTTTCTTTTCGTTTTTATCTTTGGTTCCTTCTTCCCATGGAAACGATAACTGTCTTACAGCCGTCTTAGAAATAATAGAGGGAGAAAGAAAGGATATATTTGTGCTGTTTTACTGAATTACACGCACTGACCTGCATAACTTTTGGGATAACTGTTTTATCAAAGTGATCTTCGAGTGTAGGTTTTGCAAAGTCTCGTTTGTAGACGTCGTCCTCTTGGTCCTGTGAAGCAAGAAAAAATATATATGTTAACATATAGAACCAGCACAAATTTCTCAGATCACAGTACGAGGCTGTGACAAATACTAATTTTAATAACTTTTCACCCAAACATTCTTATGGCCATTTAAGCAACTTATGGTGTGCGCTCTTAGAGCACGGTTTGCAACAATCAGTGGGCCTCCACATCTTTTCATAAGTTGGTCGTTTCAAGAGGATAAACAACAATTATTCATTATCCACGGTGGAAACATGAAGTAAAACACACACATGAACTGTAGACTAAAGGTAAAGGTGGATATGATCCTCAAAGTTACTAGACCAAGCTTTGCGGATTCCCAAAAACACAACAGAAATCGAACAATTATTCACCGAAGTGGAGGTGGCTAGTGGGTGGATATTATATCAGGCAAATGATACACCTGTCGGCAAGGCACAAAGGGGTCGAGCGTGAGTTGAAAGTAAAATCGAAGCTTTGTTTTCAGAGACGTATTGAAAATTTTAACCTCTAGAGGATGATTAGCCAAGAAACTACAGGAAAAGTAACCTATCCAACTAAGGTGCTGGTGAAACGAGCCGGAACATGGCTACCTTTGCTGAGATGACGTTTATTCCGGTACAGTCGAACCGCCACTAAAGGCCACCTGTCTTCAAAGGCCATTCTCTTCTGCCTCCAGGGTGGTCATTGTGGAGAAGTTCTACTGCATATTTACACCATTTTGACACCGGTATTCAAGCTAACCGGGCGGCTGGCTTGGATGTAATGTTATCGCGAAGTCGATTTTTGTTGCTTTTAATTAACATGCCGCGATCTTTACAAAGCGAGCCAGACTTACATGTGGGAAAAATTTCTATCTGTGGGGCTTTTTTTCAAATCATACATACCTAACCCCTCCCCCACCCCACAAAAAACGTGGACGCGTATATCCAAAACTTTCTCGTGTTTCAACATTGTATAGGGTGTGGGGAGGGAGAACGGCGAGATATTTTTGAAAAGGCCACACTGCTTTATGAGGGAACCCTTACTGTACAGAAAATTCACTGTTCCAAGAACTTTTGTCCGGAATTGTAGCTGTGTGCAGTGAAACGGGAAATCAACTTACCAAAAAGAAGGCGCCACGATGATAGTATTTCTGTAAAAAGCCGTATTTTCCTTTAACAGCTTTGTTGGTGACAACTTTCGGATTGTTCCTAACTTCACTTCTCCACTGATCTTCAGTAAGATCATGAAGACGTTCGACTTCCTGTCTTTCTTTCTCCATTCTAAACGTAAGAAAGAGGAAGAATTAACAAACTGAAAAGGTTGCAAGCAGAGTTGAGTTGAAATTAACTGCGGCAAGATTAGCTTCTGCTCCAGTCGGAAGGTCGCGGGTTCAATTCCCAGGGCCGGACCAATACTCAGGGTCTTAAAATAACTGAGAAATGAAAGTACTAGAGAGTTTAAGCTTCACGTGCATAGCAAAAGGCAAACGTCAGATTCAAGTTGAGAATTTCTCAAAATAGAAAATGAGCAGATAAAAACAGGTCAAAACAATTCTTATGGAAGAAAAATTACGTGAAATAACTAATTTATGTGTAGAAATAATGAACAGTAAACGACAAGTAAAGAGGAAACTTGGTCACGTGGTGCAATTTCGCGTTTGCCGTAAACGTGATGCTTAACCTTTCTACTGCCTTTGCCCTGCAAACAGCAAGAACTTCGCGTGGCTCAGATGACCACATAAAATGGCGGTCCCGTCTTCAGTTGGACACGTATTATAGTGTCCGAATTAGTACTTTCGTACTAAATACATTGACACGCAAATAAGTTTATCAACTGAGTTTATAAATTACCATCGCAAAATAATTAAAAGTTGATGTTTCTTTTGCCATTCCTTTTGATTCATTTAAGTTATTAGTAGATAGATTTATCTTACTGTTCTCTTTCCTCTCTATCTCTTTTGATCCGTTTGAGTTCTCGAACTTTCCACGCCTCATACTAAAAGCAAAGAACATAATAAATGTCAGATGCAGCTTATCTAAGATGTAATTTTATGCCTAAACATAAGTGATTTCTTGGAGTAGTGCGACAAATGTGTGGGTGCTAATTATTTGCCCGAAACTATTCAGAAAAAAATAATAATTAATTTCAAATGATTCAATCGGTCTCCACATCTACTACAATTTAATGAATGCATTGCAAATGTCGAGGCGATTTCGCTCTACCGCTCAACATTGTTGGAAGATGTTGTGAGTTAAAATTCGCTGCTTATCGAACCTCTTCGTTACTCAGACACTACGACACCGTGAGGCCTCATTATCTCTTCACTCAAGGCTGGATAAATAATGAGAGAACGTCGAGACTGCCTGGACAGTAATTAGCAGTTACTATAACTCCAAAAATGGAGTAAACATTTTAGGTACAGGATAACCCCTTTTATGGGGTTACCTTAACTCCTAATTTAACTCCAAATTTGGGGTCATTTTTACTCCTGAAAAAGAGTTCTTTTTACTCCCAGTCTGGAGTTAAAATAACTCCGAAAATGGGGTTAATTTTACTCCTTACGTGGGTTGTTTTTACTCTTTTTGGAGTCACTTTACTCTAAAAGTGGAGTAAAAATTTTAGGTACAGGATAACTCTTTTTCTGGGGTTATTTTAACTCCTCAATATCTGGGGTCATTTTTACTTCTGGAAAAGAGTTCTTTAAACTCCTCTTTGGAGTTAAAACAACTCCCCAAAAAATAACTCCACTGTAAGGAGTTAAATTAATCCACTAGAGGAGTTATTATGACTCCTTGAAAATTACTGCGTGGCCGGAGTTGTATGAACGCTAGCCTGACATCGTAAGACGTACTCTTTGGTAAGGTAATACATTTAATCAATAATAGGGTTTTTTAATATGTCCGTTCTACCTGATGCCCCTGAAAGTAACAGCAACTTATGACCTATAGCTTTCAGTCAAATGAGGGCACCTCTCCTTTCAGTGTAACTTTTAAAATACACCAATGCAGAGTGGTTGGGGGGGGGGGGGGGGGGCGGGGGGAATCGGCCCCAGGTTTGTTAGTCAGAGGATGACTATTTCGGCCAACCGGGGGAAAAAAAGGCCTCCTTACCCTAACCTTTCAAATCCATAGTCAGGAAATTTCGAAATTAACAAAA